GTATCACCCCCACCTGGGTACCTGTGGCTGACTGTTCCTCTGTCTGGCTTCTTGGCTTTTAATCCCCTTTCTCCTGCTCTTCTGGCCTGCTGCTTTGGGTGTCCCTGAGTTGTCCCTGGGGCTGACTGCTCCTCTTTTCGGGTTCTTGGCTTTTATCCCCTTTCTCCTGCTCTCAGGTCCTGCTGCTTTGGGCGGGCCTGAGTTTCCTCTCCTCACCTAATCCCTTCGGCTGATTGCTCCTCTCTCTGGCTTCCTGGCTTTTAATCCCCTTTCTCCTGCTCTTCCCGCCTGCTACTTTGGGTGTCCCTGGGTTGTCTCTCCTCACCTGTAACCCTGGGGCTGAATAACTCAAAGTATTGATGTCAGACTGGAGAGAAGTTTAAGTGATGTCCTTGACAAAGACTGTCCTTGCCCTATTCTTGTGTTACATTGTTCTCGATGTAATGTAGCATTATTATTCTTAGGTGCTATCAAGTCAATTCTGACTCCTAGCAACCCTGTGTACAACACATCAAAACACCACACCATCCTCACAATCTTCACTTAGCACTTAAAGTTAATTAAGTAAAAAAGGATTTGTTACGTTTACCATGAAGATTTTATACCTTATACCTAAAAATAAAATTAAAATGCTAGTATTTTTTCTTTATTATCCCTTGAATGAATAGTATAAGGTCATTATACTTTGAAATCAATTCAACAGCAATGGGTCTGGTTTGGTTTGGTATTATTTAAATGGGAAATTGCCAAGTTGAAAACTGCATTTTGGATTATTCCTAGGAAAGCATATTTCACGAATATGTTCATTAAAAAAATAAATAAATAATTCTGAAAACTAAGCATATTTTTATGTAATCATTACAAAAGAATAGTCATTCTACATCATAGTATCCTTTATGATTACATATGGTGTTTTAATTTTAAGAAATAAATTTTTACAAAAATATACATGAAGATTCAAATCTCTAATATTTTGGGAAACATAGAGTTAGAAGAACAACAGATTAGCTGGGATTAGCTGCCAACTTCCTTTTTGGACATGTTCTGCCTTTAGTATATGACATTGCTCTTTGCCAGATGTCCTGAAGTCCAGAATTACATGTGAGGGATGCACTTCACCTTGAGTTAGACCAGACTTAACCAGATCTACCTTTTTGCACTCTAAATGTCAGATTTGGAAAAAAATCCAGAAGTCTTCATCTCATGTGATTCTAAATTGTTTGAGGATTCTCTTTGTGATGTTGTATCCATTTCTGGATTTGACTAACAATAACAACAGCAATAACAACAACACAACAATGATAATAATAAAGTAAGAGAAAAGAGGACAGTCTTTACTAAACATACTTGTGAGTGACAGAGAAATGGGACATCTGTATTCATGATCACAATTTCTTGAAGGCTTTCTGCAACATCCGCTTACAAGTTTATATCTGAAGCATTGACTTTCTTCTGCTGGTTTTCTAACAAAGCAGCTTTTTTTTCCAGATGTTCGTTGGGGCTGAAATAAATCGGATGGCACTGGGCTACTTTTTCTTTTATTTTCTTTTTCAGTTTGAACTTATCTTCAGGTACAAATTTGGTTGAAGAAATTATTTCACTGATGCTGTTAAAACACAGCTCTTATTATAGCCTCAGATTATGTTACAAGGTTTCACTAATAACCACCTGAGGTGGCTACAACTTTCATATCTTTGTCCAGCTCTGGGGATTGAATTTATTATGAAACATTCATTTAACAAACGGTTATTGGACTCTCACTATCCTACCAGGCCTGTGCTAAGCCCTGGGATTCAGTGGGAAGCAAAGCAAACATAGTGTCTGACCCTGAAGAGGTTAAATTGCCTAAAGCAGAAGGTAAATCATGCCCACATATGTGTTACATTTCTCCGGCATGAAATTTTCTCTCTAATTTGAATTCCTGAAAATTTGGAAGATTTCTCATAAAAATCTGAACTTCCAGCTTCTCTTGAAAAATTCAAGGAATCAGGAATTAGGGGGGAAAAAAATCAAGGAAAATGATTAGGAAAAGCACTATATTGCTTTGGAAAGTTATCAGCAGGTGAATTTTGGAATAACAGGTTGTAAAATGGTATTTAATAATTTCTTAATTTTTCTGTTTAAATATTTAAGTTTTTAAGGGGAAAACTACTATGCTATGATAACACTTTAGTAAAACAGCACTTTTAAATAAGAAATTTAGAGACTAAAACCTTAAGTTCTCAGAAACAGATGATAAACTCAGATATAACGAAGTTTAAGGGATTATTTAGGAACTTTTTAAAAACAACTTTGGGCAGATTCCAGTAATTTAGATTCTCAGAAGACCAAAAATTGTCAGTATAAAGTAAATTCAAAGAAATAAAGGGGAATAAAGATTAAGAAAAGAAATAGAAACCAAACTAGTGACCATCGAGTCAATTCCAATTCATGGCTACCCCATGTGTGTTAGGATAGAACTGTGCTCTATAGAGTTTCCAAGGCTGATTTTTTGGCACTAGATCCCCTGGCCTTTCAAATGAGGTAGCTCTGGGTGACGTCCAGCCTCCAACTTTTCAACTGGTACATTAACCATTTGTATCACCCAGGTGCTCCAGAAAGGAGATAGGAGTATGATAAGGCCTGGTAAAGAAAGCGAAAAGAACAGGAAAAAGAATCATCAAAATGCAGGAGAAGAGATCCTACTCTATTCCCTGGAAATAAGGCAAAAGTAAAATGTACAGTTTACATTTCTATTTAATTTGCTCAGTCCCACACAAACGTCCATCAGAGCCCCAGCTCCTGAGGCTCCCCGCATGCACCATCCACAGGGCCGGCACATGTCTTGCCAGCTGAGCTACCGTAAATCCTTCCCTTTTGACCCTCAGGATGTGGTGGTGGTCGGAGAGGAAAACTTCACTACCCCCTGCTACATTCAGCTGGACTCGGAAGCCTGTCACATCCTCACTGAGAACCTCAGTACATACGCTCTGGTCGGGCAGTCTACCACCAAAGCGGCAGCGAAGCGCCTGAAGCTCGCCATCTTTGGGCCGCTCTGCTGCTCCTCTCTGGAGTACACTGTTCGAGTCTACTGTTTGGATGACACCCAGGATGCCCTGAAGGTAAGTGGTTGTCATTTGATCTACCGTCTTCACCTTCACCTTGAAGCAAAAGTTTGGGTAGGGACACATAGGAGAGACTTGTACACATGCATCCAGGCATGTGAACCCATGTATTTGGCCCCACAAGCTGAAGCTGTTTAAAAAAATTAGACATTTCTCTGAGGCCATGCTTATGTACGAGCTGTTTTCTTTATGCTGGTTCCTCCCAAGGGCTACTTTTGTTTACCTTCCTTGATTTCTCTTAATGAAAAATTTAGAAGTGGAAGGATTTGGCAAGGAGACTGGTGGATGGTAAATAATCTGCTTCCATGTTTATCTCAGCTGCATTCTTCCTGTAAAAGGAATTGGCATAATTGCTCAAGCTGTATGTTCCTCTTGTGAGCTACTTCATTTATATGCTTTCCCATTCTTTTTATGAGGGCTGTGAGAGAGAGAGCTTGCATTTGACAACAGGCTGATGCTTTGCAGAATAAACGAGCTTAATTCCTGGTGCTATCATTGCCATTCATTTTATACCATTTGAAGCTTTAAGGGATAGAGTAAGTGCCTTTGAAGAACTTATGATCTAGAAGGAGGAATAAAAGAAGTATGCCAGAGATTGTGATGCAAGTCAGAGTGCGATAAATGACAGAGATGTGATGCAGAGTTCTATGGGAGTTCATGAGAAAGAGACACCTTATTATTTTGAAGAACTCTGAAAAGGAGTTAACATTTGAGATTGGCCTTAAAAGAAAGTAATTTTTTGACCAGCAATAATGGGGAAAAGAAGCACAATATTCCTGCGTGCTTGAACAATTTCTCTCAGAAAGATCAGCACGAGGCGGGTCCCCGTGAGGCGGAGGTTAAAGATGTCCCAAATGTCCAAACTACCATGCCACTCCATCATTTCAGACATTAACTCCTCCTCCTCCTCCCAGTAATTTCCCCAGTCTTAGGGTTCTGTATTTCGCTGTAACTCCTCACAGAACTCACAGACACCCAAGAGTTTGTCTCACGTAGTAGTGGTGGAGGCTGGCAGGCTGGCAAGTCCCGGGTCCGTGAGTAGGTCTGGCAGATCCTCCCAACTCTCCAGGTTTGATGAACCTCGATCAGCAGATCAGGTGACGGCTGCTGTCCCAAATCCAGGGGTGAGATGAGGGTAATCCAAGACACAAAGCCGGAGCAAGAGGAGAATCTTCCCAGGAGATTCATAGGTATACCCTCAGAGAAGCTAAGGAATTATACCCTCCAGCAGGTCAGGACTCAAGATACATTCTACCTGTGTTGCCCCAACAGAATTAACCTAAATCTCATCACAGAGTCAATTGCCAGTCATTATAGGGAATGACTACTACCAGCTGCCCAGCCAAGTTGATACCTGACCTTAACTATGACACCACCCCAAACAGGCATGGATAATGGGATTTACAAAACATCACAGAATGGAGGGCAATAGCTAGAAGGGCCACATCAAGCAATCCACTGCACTAAGTGAAGGGAATAGCATGAGAAAACACAGACAGGAACAGTGAATAGAGTCTATGCAGGTATGTGGGAGCTCTGGTGGCATAGTGCCTAAGGCATTTGACTGCTAACCAGAAGGCTGGCAGTTCAAACCCACCAGGCTCTCCTCAGAAGGAAGATTGGGCAATCTACTTCCATGGTGATACCACCTCAGAAACCTGAGGAAGAGTCGCTATGAGTCAGATCCAACATGATGGCAGTGCATTTTTTTGTTTGTTTGTTTTATGCAGGCATATTATTTCCATTAAGGTAGAATGAAAGGCAGGATTTTATCATGATAGATTTTGACTGACGGAGTGAGGAATTGAGATTGAGTTTGTTGAGTTAATGAGAGTCAATGGAGCAATTTAAACAGGAGAGAGACATGATTGGAGATATACTTGAGAAATATTAATCTGGCTTCATTGTAATGAAAAGTTCAAGTTAAGAGAGAATGTGGGGTTCAACTAGTATAATGATAAAGGAATAAGAACAAAGAATCAATATGAGAGAAATAGAAGAAAGGATCTGAGGCAATTAACATTACCCTTCACAAGACGTAGTGACTGACACTGAGTTTGTGGAGCAGAAGATTAAGTAACAGTAGCAAACTGCTGAGGGGGGTAGGTAGCTTTGGGGTATGGATGGATGCAGTGCCTTCACTTTTGGAATTGGCCAACCTGACAAAGATGCCCAAGAGAAGTTTAGGAATTTGGGTGTGGCTCTCCAAACAGCGAGTAGATACTGAGCTGGAGATTTGGGAATGAGCCATATAATATGATCAGGGAGACTATCAAGGGAGACTACTTCTTGCTGTTGTTATGTTATGTTAAGTGCCATTGAGTCGTTTCCAACTCATAGTGACCCCACGTACAGCAGAATGAAACACTGACTGATCCCGCACCAGCTCCATGATCCCTGCTATACTTGAGCCCATCATCACAGCCACCATGCCAATCCATCTCATTGAAGGCCTCCCCCTTTTGTCGACCCTCCACCCTACCAAGAATGACATCTTTCTCCAGGGAATGCTCCCTTCTGACAACATGACCAAAATAGGTGATACAAAGTCTGGCCATTCTCGCTTCCAAGGAGCAATTTGGGTGCACTTCGGGTGCACTTCTTCCAGGACAGATCTGTTAGTTCTTTTAGCAGTCCATGGTACTTTAGCATTCTTTGCCAGCACCACAACTCAAGAGCATCAACTCTTCTTCAGTCTTCCTTATTCATTGTCCAGATCTCACATGCATATGAGGCATGTTGCTGTTGAGTTGATTCTAATTTATTGCAACACTGTAGGACAGAGTAGAACTGCCCTATGCAGTTTCCAAGGCTGTAAACTTTACAGAAGCAGACTGCCACATCTTTCTCACATGGAGCAGGTGGTGCGTTCAAAACACCAACCTTTCAGTTGTCAGCTCAACACTTAACTGCTCTTCCACCAGAGCTCCTCCAGAGAAGACTAAAGAGAGGAAATTATAATAAAAATTATAAACATTGTCTTAGGCTAGGTACTCTAGAGAAGTAAAACAAGTAAAGCTTAGACAGAGAGAGAGAGAAATTTATATCAGGGACATGGCTCACACAGGTGTAGAGGTTGGCAAGTCCCAAGTTTGTGGGTCAAAAGTAAAGCTGGAGGCTCTTTCTGACTTACGCAGATACACGGGTTAACAAAGCCAAGATTGGCAACCAGTATAAGCAGCTGACTTCAGTGGATGATGAATCAAGAGTGGCAGGTGAAATAGTAAATTGTTGGTTCATAGGCTCCTAAGACTATGGTCCCAAGATTAGCAGGCAGCATGGCAGGCCACTGGTTCAATTTCAAAAACCGGATGATGACAAGCTAGATGTCGGATCTAGATCCATCGGAAAGTCCAATGTAGTGGAAGCAGAACATGTTTCTGGAGGAAATTCCTTTTCAATTGATTGGCTGCTCACAGTATATCCCACCATGGAGATGACTACCTTACATCAGATCTCATCATGGGAACAACCACACCACAGCTGCTTAAACCACTCAAAATCACGGTCAAGCCAAATTGACACACAACCTTAACTATTGCAACATCATTAAGACCTTTTTATGTGCTGGGCAGTGGAGCTCTGGTGACATTGTGGGTAAGGCATTTGGTTGCTAACAAGAAGGTTGACATTTCAAACTCATCAGCTACTCTGTGGGAGAAAGATGAAGCAATCTGCTTCTGTAAAGATTTTCAGCCTTGGAAACATAATGGGGGTCGCTATGAGTGGGAATCAACTCGATGGCAGTGGGTTTGGTTTTTTGGTTTATGTGCTAGGCAGTATTCTAAATATTTCATATTAACCCATTGAATCTTCACAACAATCCTATAGGATACTATTATCTCCAATTTATGTACGGGAAATCCAAGTTACAGAAGTTAAACGTAAGTTGCTCAAGAGTACATACTTCACACCCAGGGAGCCTGGCTGTGGTCTGGTTCTCTATCCCTAAATACTATGTTGCCTCCAGTGCCACACCTTACAGCATAGCATCCGAGGGGAGCCCTATCATTTCAGTGGAGGAGGAAAGATACCCAGCAAAGGAGCTAAAGAAGACTAAGCACCCAGATGGTCAGAACCCAGAACAAGTGTCTGTGGGGGAAAAAAAAAAAAATGCATTGAGGAACCCAAGGGGAACTCTGGTGGCATAGTGCCTAAGGCATTAGGGCATTAGACTGCTAACCAGAAGGCTGGTGGTTCAAACTCATCAGCCACTCCTCGGAAAGAAGGTGGGGCAATCTACTTCCAAAGAGATACTACCTCGGAAACCCAAGGAGGGGTCGTTATGAGTCAGATCCGACTCGATGGCAGTGATAGCAGACAGCAAGGGGAAGAAACGGTTTCTAAAAGTCAGCATATTTCCTTTTGGAGCTTCTATCCAGAATGTAGTTCTGAGTCATGAATCCTGAGTGCTGCACGTTGGATCTCCTTGACTCAGGCTCCAGGGGAATGGACTATAGGGGTAGAAGAGAAACAAGGAGACAAGCTAGGAACCTACTCTAATCATCCCTTCCTTGTGGTAGATTACACCAGGATGGTAGCAGCCCTGAGTATGTTTTGATGGTTGAGCTTGCAGAATTTTCTGAAGTTTAATAAATGATGCGAACACACATGTCTAGTGTAAAGCTTAAGGATATTTCTTTTATGTTCCTTCCCTGTGAATGAGATACTTCTAAGGCACTATCTAAAGCTTTCAATTCTTTTTAGGAAAACCGTATGTGCAGGGGCAAATCTATTTAGCAGTTTCAAGAAAAATCATTTCAAAAATCATACATTCAAAGACCTGCCTCATGTTGTAATGTTTGACAAGTTCACTTTATATTTACACCTCTACTTCTTATACTTAAACACTCTACCTCTCACAGATACACCAAACTCATACAAAGTATGTTATGAAATAATTTTGATAGCTTTAATTGGTGAAAAAGAAATGCAAACTGTGAAACACTGAGAAAGACTGATAGACAGGTCTCAAGTAGGGAAAACTACCCAAAATT